AGAATTATGCAATTTAGAAGATTATTATTTATTAATAATTATTACATTTAAATATCCATAACTTTTTGGTAATTATTAAAATATTTAAATTTGCTAATTAGTAATCACTAAATTTAGTTTTGCATAAACTTGGGTGTTTGTTATTGCAGAATAATTTTGGTAATTATTAAATTAGTTAAACTTTCTAATTAATTAATTAGTTAAATTAATTTGGGTAGTTAAATTTATTTATGAAATATTTTTCATATTTGCAATAATTATTGATATTATTGAATATTATTTAGTAAATATCAACACTTAAACTATAATTTTCCATAATTTTGGTAAACTATAAAATTTAATTACTGAAAATTACTTGCTAAAATTAATGATTTTGGTAATTTAATTTCACAAACTTTTAAAAATTAATTATTAAATCAATAATTACAGAAATAATGAATAATTAATTAAAATATTAATAAATATTAATTTAATAATTAAAAATTATTAGTTGTTTTTCATTGAAAAATTGATTTCAATAAATATAAATTTATTTTTACATTTTCAATTATTTTGGTCAATTTATTAATATTTAATGGTATTACCAAATAATAATTAAAAAATTTAAATAATTTTTAGTGGAAAATTAATTTCAATAAATATCAAATTATTTTTTAAATTTTCAGTAATTTTGATATTTACTATAATTTTTGAACAATAATTAGTGATTTTGGTAATTTAATTACTAAGTATTATTGATTTGGGTAATTTAATTCAATGAAAGTTAAATCATAAAATTTCCAATTATTCAAATAAATAATTAAGTAATTTTAATAATTTTCGATACTACATTTATAATTGCCATGATTATTGGAACTATATTTATGGGTTCGGGGTATGACCCCAAATGGCAATAAGCATGTTCAAGGCGGGAATCGTGCTCCCTATTCCCGACCCTGAGTTTTAAATTAATACCCGTCCTTGAGCCTGGTCCTCATTAGGGAAGAATATTTAGCCTCCACCCTTGGTCCCCCGACAAAGGTGGGTTCCCTATTGGGGACCCAAATCCCCAAATTTTTTAATTAAAAGTTTGTTTTGAGAAAAAAAATATTTATTTAAAATAAAGGAAAAGTTAGAATGCAAATAATATTTTAAATATAGCTTGATATATATAATATAAATAATATTATCAAATAACATAAATAATAATATATACTTAATATAATACACATATATATAATTAGTGTCAAGGAGGGGTGTGGATTTCACTTCCCATCCCTATTTGGTCGAGAGGCCAGTACTGAGCGGGGATGGGGAAAATTGTCATCCCTACCCCCGGGTTGTATAGCTCGATAGAGCACTATGTTTTAAGCTCTATAAATCCTAACATCATTTTCCTTTGCATCACAGGGGCCCACTAGTGTATATATATATTCTTCCCAAACTAATTCTAAGGAAATGGATGGTTAGTATCTCTTAAATGATATTTGATGCAATACAATTTCCTATGCCAATGAAAAAATGCCATGTGGCATGCCTTGAAGGGCATTCTCAGCAATTCATAGGCCTGGAGGGGGCATCTCAATAATTTCCATTGAACAGTTAAAGGGAGATCGGCTTTAGTCAATGCAAGGCCTCTTTGAACACTGTTCAAACAGCCTTTACAGCCTTGCATGGGCTATCCTAACTATAGTAAGATAAAAGAAGAAGGAATTCGGATTCTATTAGGGCAAATTGGTGCTAGCACCCTTTGAGAAGTCCCTTGCAACTTTGCATTGGAAATATCTCCTATAAAATAAATCACATAACTATGGAGATATTTCCAACGCAAAGGCTGTTGAAACGGGCTTTGCCCTTACTGAAGCCAGACTCAAGAAGAAGGCACAACTCTCATGCACTTCCACTAGATTCACTCTTGCACTCTTCCCCACCTTGGCACACCTCGTTTATCTCTCACTTACCTCAATTAATTTCTTGTCGGAGTGACCACCCTTAGACTATTCCCCTGCGGCCTCTACTAACTTTTTGTACTCATATGTGGGACCCACCCTAATCTTCAGCATTGTTTTCCAACTTTACCATCATTGCAAAATTTGAAAAAAAAAAAAAAAAAACAGTAGTCATTGGAGTGTTAATAACATTTTTCATTAAAACATAAAAATAGAAGTGTTAAACACGATTTTTTAGGATAAATCTATATTGGAAAAGGTAAAAAGTATAATATTGGAAGAGCTTTGACTAATAACACCCCCCCTCCTCCATGAATGATGATGAATGCCACATGATTGCTTACCACCTTTATATGACTAATTACCCCTTCCTCCAAAACACGATTGCTTACCACCTTTGTTTCGAGAAATCACAAAGGTGAATTAGTCTTGTAAGAACAAAGCCTTAAAACCCTAAGATCACATATGTTTAGAGTTGGACTATAATTTGCTTCTGATATGAACCTAAATTATATTTGGCTTAAAGGAGATGTTCAAAAGGTTGTTTCTATCCTGGATACTAATTGCATGAGCCTTTTGCAATTACCGCTGATTGCAGGAGCCTTTTGCAACAATTTCAAGTTGCCAATATCTCCTTTTTAGGACGTACAAGTCATAGAGTTGCCTGCGCTCTTGATAAATTTGGTTAATTTGTTTATCCAAATAAATAATCAACATTTATGTTTAACAACTGTAATTAAAAATTAAAAGAAATAATATTTAAAATTAGTATTTTATAAACAAATGGAATAAATAATCTGTCAATTCTATATTTACATCAAAAGATTTTAATCTCAATAAATTTATACAAATAAAATATTAATAATAGAATAATTATCTTACTACTTAAAATTTATATATTTGCACATGATATATATCTTACGAATTTTATATAGTTTTATAATTATTAATTAATATTTTAATTTAGATTTTAGATTAAATGACAATATATTTATTATTTACAAAAAAATAAAAAAATTGTTTACAAAATATTCAAGAATATAATATTAAATTGAAATGATCAAATCCACTAATTTACATTTATTTGAAAAATGATTTTTAATTTCAAAAAATTTATAGAAATAAAAATGTTAATAATGAAATAATTATTTAATAATTAAAATTTATGAATTTGCATATGATATATATCTTAGAAATTTTAATAGGTTTGATATATTTTAAGTTAAAGTTGTATATTTTTTTATAAATTATTAAATGATAATTTAATTTATATTTGAGAATTTAGTATTTGGTTAACTTTTTTGTCATAGGTCCATCTTGAACTCTTAATTAATACATTGTATGATATCTATGTGTTCTATTATATTAAATATAATATATTTTTTATGTACACCATATATATTTATACATTATTTATGGTTATTTGACCATAAATTTAGTGTTATTAATGTATTTATAAAATTTGTATATATTTCCCTAGTGTAATCCAAGTGTTTCTATATTTTTCATACATAAGGGGAGTCATGCCCCCCCCCTCCCCTATGCCTCCAAAATTCCTATAAAATCTATTTAAGTTCCACTTATATTAGCTCCCTTACCCATATTTTCTAGCTTTTGACCCCCTATCCAAGTTTTCTAGGTTTTGGCCCCTCAATAAAGTATATGTTTGGTTTCGATTATGTTTATTGAGTAAACGTTTATTGGCGGTGCCGCATAAGTGCCACATCAACAAATGCCTCATTAAATGCATTTGTATGTATCGAAGTTTGCAAACGTTTTAAGAAGCTTCATTTTGGAGCTTCCTAAAATAGATAGACATTTATTAGCATTTTACTGATGTAGTGCCTAATAGTGCTTATATATCATAAATTCCCTCATTAAATATGTTTCCCGGCTTTGCAATCACACAAGTACGGAACATTTAATGAATAAACGTAAACCAAATCAAACACCCTGAAAATATCCTACCTCTGCTCTAAATACGATACCAGATACATGGTTTAATTTTTATCTGAGCGATGATTTAAAGGATTAATCTACCTATAGGCATCTTTAAAAAAACTATTTTAATTGCTAAAATGACTAAATTAAATATAATGATAATGTCTATGCTAGTGATGAAAGGTCTGGATCCGCCATGTTCAAACCATCACCATCATACAATCGGGATTTGATACTCACACACCACACCTTACACCGACCTCACTGCCCCATCTCACAGTGTATTGACCCATGAATAGGGCTGATCATTTCAGACTGGCTCGATCAGACTGGATTTTGTGTTCAGGCCCGGGCCTATATCAGACTTGCAAATTTTAGAATCAGGTTTGTGCTTGATACTTTAAGTTCAGCCCGTATATATTTAAACTTATATTTTTTGAAGGTAAATTTACATATTTTATATATAATGTATATATACATTAACATATTATTTTACATTATACTATATTTTATATATAAATATTATAACATCATATGTAATATTTTATATTATATAATGTATAAAATAAATTTATATACATATCATGTCATTTAATATATAGATATATAATGTTTTATATATGAATGATATTGACCTCGAATCAGATCCAGCCTGACCTGGGCCTATAGACCTGGGCCAGGACTTATGTAATTTCGAGTCGGACTAAATCAGACCTAAACTATAAACCTTATCATAACTGCAAAGCCCGGCGCGGCCCGGCCCATTATCACCCTTACGGCCATTGTATACCAATAAAAATTACGGGAGATGTTCTCGATGGGCGGGTTGGACGCGTTGTGAGGAGTGATTAATGAAGAGCAGATCCGGGCTGGGGTAGGAGTAGCGTTCTCATTGAAAAAAACCCCTTGAAAATATCAGCTGACGTAAGTAGAATCTTGGTGGAATATGTCGATTTGTGTGGTTCCGACGGACCAGGAGTGGGGGCCAATTAAAAGAGTGACGTGGACAGATGCCATTCTGCAAACATTTGCCGTCGGATCTAAAATCCCCACAAAAGCGTAATTAATGAACTCTTTCAAGTCCGCAGGGTCTCCACATGATATATATGTAATGTACCCTGACCGGCGTATCTTGATCTTCATTCTTCAATTGCAGCGACGTTTGAGGTGATTTCTCATAACCGCCTCTTGCTTCTTTCTAACTATTATAGCGCTTAATCTGATTTCTTGTTCGGCGTTCTTTTCTGATCGATTTGTCTACGCCTTCCCAGTAGTATAGTTAGGGTTCTTGGTCGATCTCTTGTTCGATTTCAGTAATTTTAGGTTCCTACAGAGTGGATCCCCATTTCTGGCACAACGGTCAAGGATCCGGATCCTGGGACGTTTATATAATTGCAATTAGATTTATTAATTTTGGGAGATTCATAATGGTTTACTCAAAAAAGGAGAAATTTGCTGACGATGAAAAAACCGATGGTTCAGATAACGAAATTCAATCTACAGATGACATGTTTGATGAACAATCATCTGGTGTTTCCTCGATGGAGAACGAAATCTCTTGCGGTGGATCTACCGGACCTTCGAGCACAACGCAGGAGAGTGGTAGATGCTCTGGACGTGGGAGCGGGTTCACGGAGAGGCTTAGGGGTATGTTTGGAGATGAAGGTGATGGAGATCTGTTGCTTCAGCAAAGCGATCGTGAGCAAAGCGTATTACAGTGGCTTCAAGCCCTGGATTTTCAGGTTAGTGGGGCGTGCCGTGCCGATGAAAGGTTGAAGCCGTTGCTCAAGCTGAATGCCTCGAGCGGTATCGCTGAAGATCGCTTGCTGGCTCATCTGAATCAGGTCCGTTACAATTTTCTCGTATGCCTGGGGCCTATATTATAATAAAGACTATGGCGACCATTTATAAGGAAACGATAACTGTATACAAATTATTAATATTATTCTCCTGCTAAATTTTTTGCTCCTTGATTCGTAAACAGCACTTTGAGGCATCGGAGGTTGGTATGTTAGCGAGGTGCTTGTGTATTCCTCTTGTTTCCATTCGCGTTGGAAAGGTCATCAAACAAGTGAATCTTCTGTGCCCAACTGCTACAAGGTAGTTGAAATTACCTGTTCGTACGCATGTACGCTTGTCGCTTTTTTTTTTTTTTTTAATTTTTTTCACATCGATTTCATTCATTGATATGCACAATGTACTTTTGTTTCCATTCACATCTTCATTCTGTTCTGTGCAAAAATTTTCCGATGGAATCAAGGTACGATGCAAAATGATTGATGTCTCTCAAAGCATTGTTCTTGATCTATCATATTTAATTAATTGTTTTAAATACTATTGTAAGATTAGTTACATGCAGTCAGGCATTGAAATGACCTGTCATGGTTCTCTAGAGAACGTCTAGTATTTCGTTTGCTGGTGTTTCTTCTCTGCTCATGGTGTTCTACTCTTTCATTGTCCTTATTGATGTAACAGATGGATGTGTGGGAGGACAAATACTCAATTGTTCAGAATGCTGATGCCTTTTTATCTGGAAGTTGATTGCAAGTTAGCTGTTAAATTCTATTTTTCATAGCTTGTTTCAAGTTTCATTTATTATTATTTTTCTTTGTGTGACCATTATCTCTGCCTTCATAAATGGATGTTACTTTGTACCTTCTTTATATTTATTAAAGAAATCATCATTTTCACTTGTTATGCTTGTGTGGACATTTTTTTCATTGTTGTTGGCAGATGCATGAGGTGGAAGAGTAGAATATGGTATTTTTCTGTATAGGAATTTTGTGTTTTCTTTTTTTTGTAATTATGGGTGTGGGGGGAGTTGTTTACGCCTCTAGGAGTTTTTGATGAAATATTATTCACTTAACGTGTTGCTATATTATTACAACGTTATTGACTTGAATATACGATTATTAATTAATAACAGAGTTGCCAGATCTATTGCAAAAAAAGGGGATAAAAAACTTAAACCCCTGCTATATTTCTTTTTGACAGCATCATTTATGCCTTTCTGGTCCTCCTGAGATGTTCTCTGGATCAGGGGCATTGTTTATTCTCTATCACAGGACTTGCTTTAGGGTGCAAATATTGTATTTCCTTTATATGCATTGGCCATTTGTATGGGGATATTCTTGTAACCAGTATTTCTGCTGCAATTTGAATGTTCTGTTCTGAAACCACTCTTAAATGGGAGGCACTATGGAGACTGGTGCTAATTGTTTATCCCTTTGATTGGCTTTGCTGGTAAATAATTCACTAACCATTTGTTCCCTTTGTCTTTGCTAGATAATAAAATTTTCTCAACAATTTCATGGCACTGCACTCTGAAGTTTTTTTTGGTAGTATTAATGGGGTTCAAATCATTCATAAAAAAAATGGGGTTCAAATCGTTCCTTTGTGTTAGTAACTTTCTTGACTACTTGTGTATTCTGTTCTTCTTTTCCAAGTTGGTTTTGTCTATACGGTTGTGAATGAAATTGGAGTTCATCAATCCTTTTATTATCACCACTCTTAACTTGTGTTTTTTGTTGTTCTTTTTCCAATTTGATTTAATCTGCTGTTGCACTTGATCTTTTAATGCTTGATTTAATATTATGTGTATGAGTTGGCTATATTTTGGCTTGTTCTTTCTTTTCAATATTTTACTTGAATTGGTATTTCATTACTGTAGAAGGCGACTTTATTTGATTGGAACTTTGTCCACCACTATAAAGTTCATTACCTAATATAGCATGGCTGGAAAATGTGTCCTGTATTTGTTGATAATTACCAGAAACTGCAGGATTCTATGTTTCAGCTTATTAATGGTGACAATGTTCATCCTTCCAAATAAAGATATCTTTTGATTTGTAGGTAAAAGTGGGCGTTTGTGATGTTCTATTATGGTCTCTGAAATAAGAGGAAGTGAAGGTAGTTTCAAGTCCCTATATTATATGGTTCCCTTCTTACTTACAGATCCCATATTTCTTATGGTGTTAACAGAGTCAAACTTGTTTTATTTTAATTGGAAGTTGAAAGTGATATTTTGGTGTTAGTTGAGGTTTAGAAACCTTGAGGTACTAATGTTTATATAATAGCTTGTATGCTCTTGCCTGTTTGTACATTTTTTTTATCAGTATTGCCTGTTTGTACATTTGGAAACCTTCAGCTTCTAATTTTTATGTAATAGCTTGTAAGCTGTTTGTCTACCATTATTTGATGTTCGAGTGTTGATATACCTACTTATTTTTCCATTGCCACTTTGCACATATACCTACTTATTTTTCCATTGCCACTTTGCACATGTATTTGATCATCTCTTTTTTGTTTTTTTTTTAATGAAATAAAGTTCACAAATTCTGTCTTTACAGATTTTGAATTTGCACATGTGTACTGACTGAGGCCTATTCAGTGTTTATTGTTATACGTTTATAAGATGTGTTGTTAATACATTATTGTTTCATTTGAATTGAGTTAATGGTGCTGCTGCGAATGAAGAATTGTGCTAAGCCTGTCAATGTTGCTAATCTACTGAACATGAACAAGAAAATAGTTGCAACCCCACTTCCCCCATGAAGAAGAAGACAATATTCCCCCTTCTGCCCTCTCTCTGTCAAACCGGTTCCGAGATACAGTTACTGTGTCCCAACCAAGTAGAAGTAGAGGGAGTTTCTGATGGGTTGGAATTCAAAAAATTAAATTTTGCTACAATAGTTTTGTTTTCACAGATAAATCCTGGTCAATCAGGATCAGAGTTGATCTCCTGAAGGTTTTGCAAACTTAATAACAATTGTTATCAAGTTGAAATAGTGCCAGTTCCAGATAAATGAAATTTAAAGTAACTATGGTATTATAACATTTCGCATTGACAAGTTTGCTAATCTCCTGAAATGGAATTGAAGTTGCTATTCCTGTTGCTGAACCCATTCTTTTAAGTGGGATGGCTCTATACTGTTTTAATTAGTTAATTATAACCTCCCAATTAAATGGCATCAGCTAATAATTCAAAGTAAATTGTTATCTCAAGCTGCAAACCTTTCTCTCAATAGGTGGTTTTGTAGAATTTTGTTTAGTATGCATTGGATCCATTCTTGAAGTCAGATTTTATAGTTTTCAGTTTATTATTTACTTGTGGTAGTTGGAAATGATTATGATTTGATATAACACAGAACTAGAACAACCAAATTCAGGGATCTATTAATTATAAAAAGGTTTCTCTTTTTAAAGTTGCAGGAGGTTGGTTCTTTGAGAGAAGTGATCTGTTACAAGTTGAAGGGTTTAGAACAATTAGAGGCAGACCAAAAGGGACATGGTTTGAAGTGATGAGAAATGACTTCAGGGCCCATAACTTAACAATGCATATGGCACCAAACAGAACAGAATGATGGAACAAGATTTATGTAGCTGATCCATATACCTAGGACAAGGCTTAGCTGAGTTGAGTATTTTGACCTTTAGTGTTATTTAGATTGCATTAGAATATAAGTCAGACTTCTGGTGTAATTTTTATACAGAGGTGGCTGTATGTCTTGTCCAACCCTAGCATCTTTATGAAACCTGTGTAGACATGTGGTCTAGCATGTGCATCTCTGAAACTTTTATCTGATCCATATCAATGTCTTATTGGCAGCAGACATGTTTATGGCACTCGAGTTAATTCAAAGATTTTGTAATTTTGTCTTCTGTCAAATTTAAAGCTTGTGTGGAGCTTCAAGGCTGTGCTCTTCCTACTCTGCTTAGAAATTTGTCTCTGTGTAGTCCCTTGGCCTTCTAGAAAGTCAAAGTGGGTTACTAATAAGGCTAATATTGTATTTTCCTTGACAAAACGTTAGCTGCCTTGGTTGAATAAGAAAGACCCTTCAATAGTTCTTATTCTATTCCTTGAAGACTTGAATGATTGAACGCCAACATAACCTTAAGTTGGAATAGAGTTATGATGGGAGTATGGGCACTCTTGTTCCCTAATGACCAAAATACAGAAAGAAAAATGTGGATAGCAAATAAGAATCTTCAGTTGTACAAATGGAGTCTGGATAATTTGCGTCAGTATTTGGGACCTTTAATGTATGAGCAACTTTTACCAATAGGGAAAAGAAAAAAGTACAAGCAGTTTCGAAAAAGATAACTGTGGAAGTGGGAAAAATACGTTGCTCTAGTAGAAGTTGCATATATTATTGAGCCCATTTGGTTGTGGAGAAACAAGGAGGAACCAAAATTTTAACCTTAACTTTCACACTGATTTGATTGAACGTGTATCCTAATGAATCTTGAACCTGCAAAACTTTATTTGAATTTTAAGGGATAATTGAATCTCCAACAAGCAGTGGGAACATAATGATGAATTTACTACTATCACAAGATATAATTATGTACTTCACTGGATTTCTGTGTTCAATTATCTGTTGGATTTTAGAGTGCTGTTTTGATCTTGTTTTTAATGCTTATCATTGTGTCATTACTCCTTTTGTTCTCTATCTGATGCTTTCAAATTTCATTTTTCTGTTTTATGTTGGTACAGGGGAAATCTGAACCTCACACTATTGCCTACATCTGATCTACGCATATCATTCATTGGGGATGATGGCTGCACGGAAAGACTGGCCACATTGAGGGACAATTCTGAAAGCATGGCAGTTGTAATTGAAGAAATACCAGCTGATAATTCTGGTCGTTCTTTTCTTATAAGGCTCCCAGGTTCTCAAGTCTTGTATTTCTGGTGTGCTGAAAAGTCAAAGCTCCTTGGCATTGAGTTACTTGCAAAGGTACATAGAATTTCCTGGGTTGGGCATGCACCACTCCCCAGATTCTGTAAATGGGGCAACCCTATTTGTTTATAAAAATGAGAATCAATACATGGGGTTACTTCTGTCTTTGCACAAAGTAGTTTTTCCACTATTAATTAGGAAATTGTTTTGTAGATAGAGGGGGGTAAGGGGTAAAACTCCTAGTTTAGCCCTGAAATGTTCAAATCCATATTTATATTGCCAGAATGCAAATTTTCATATTGTGCATGCCTTATTTTAATTTCCCCCCCTTTCCCTACTTTGTACAGATGAAAGATTTACTCAGGAAGAAGCCTACTCTAGCTCAGCTAACTGGAATCAGCGACTCACGCCTTGACTGCTTTGCAACTCACCTCCGTGCTTATCTTCTTGGATCGAATGTGAGCAACACACAAGCAAATTCATCTGTCTCTTCACCCTCTTCAGTTGATACTGCATCTCATCCTTTGGAGTGTGAGCAGAACAATCAATGTTCATCTGCATCATCGAAGCCTATCCGTACCCGGCATAATGGTGGTTCAGCAGCCAAAGCACATGCCCCCTATCAAGTCTGCCTCAGTCCACGATCAAATTCTTTCAAAGACGGGATACAGAGAAGCCAGTCCCTCACAAGAACCGGGGCCAAAGATAAGTTGAGGTGGCGTGGAGACGGTCACGTTTTAACCAATGATAACATGCCTGTTGCTTCAACTTCTATAACGGAAGCATCTAGTGCAAGCCAAACAGAAAATGAGAAACCTCATGAGCTTGGTGGGTCTTGCCCTTTGTTGCCATTGAGCTTTTTGGAATCACTAGGAAATTCTGTTTCTCCACCAACCTCAAATCTGCTTTCGTTTAGGTTTCCCTCGTCAGAAATTTCAGCTTCAAGTGGTTCTTTTTTCTCCCCGTACTACTGTTGGTGCCCTCCTTGTGTATCAACCTTACAAAATTCAGTGACATCACCCCAACTGCCCATCTTACCAACTGAATCTGTGTCTCTGCCACCACTGTCGTCTTTTTCCTCAGTTACAAGGTTGCCGAGCTCGGTGGCCTCATCAAAGCCATCTATAAATTTATCTGATGTTCCTTCATTGGATTTTCCAGCCTTCGTGCCAGACCCAGTAGTTAGGATACCGTTACCAGTCTCCTCTTTTATAAACGTCCCAAGCTCGCAGCAAGTTCCTACTTTTACACCCTTGATGTGTGACCCCATTGTACACATTCCAGTGATCGATGTTTGCTCCTCTGGCCAAGGGTACCTGGTAAGCGCAGGCCCTGCTATTTCAACAACCATTCCTCCTTTACATCCCAAACTTGTAAACCCGTTAATCCCAGAAACCGAGTCGGTAGTAGAGAAGGGTGCAAGGGAGACTCTGCGGTTGCTCATCAGTTCGACGCAGACCAACCCACAGCTGATGAATGTGCTGCCTGCTGCTTTGACTAGCGCTGATGATAAGTGCACCATGCTTGTGGCAGGAAGTCGGGGTCTTTACAGTGGGGATGTTGATGTTGTTGCAAAAGGGATTGCGGCCGTGGGGTTAGTTCCTCTGCCAGGTAGAGGTAATGGTGCTAAAAGATATGGGCGTGATGGTGATGATACAGAGAATCGACCAGGGCAAACTGGAAGTTTAGAAGACTCTTTTGATGGCAAAGAGGGTTCTCTCTGATCGAATTCAAGGTTGTCCAAGACTAATTAGCTTGTTAGGAGTAAGATTTTTTGTACAATTTTTGTTTTTTTGAAGCCTCTGCAGATAATTCCACGTTACGGGGGAAATTGTAGATATGTAGCTGTATCCAAACATTTTAAAGTGCATTTAATTGAAGATCCGGCCATTTCTGGGGCTGTGTTTTTTCTTCTACATCTTGTATTCTTCATTTTCGTTGGAAATCCTCTCTCTACAGAATCCTATAAAGCAGTTTCTATCTCGTGAACATCCAGGAAAAAGCATTTTACCAATTTATCACTCGTCTTTAGAAATTACATTTGCAAGTTTTCTTCTCATTATTCATCATTTGCAACATTAAAGGGATAGCCTCCATGGGCCCAACCTAAGCCTACTTCAACCAAAGCTTTTTTGAACAAGTTAGAGTTGAGTTTTTGAAATGAAAGCTGGGATTGGGCCAAAATACTCAGGCTTAATTTAAATTCAGGTTGGTATTTAGGGATGTCAATTTCCTCCGTAAAACCGGGGCCCTGCCCTGCCCCGAATGGAGTACAGGGCGGGGACGGGTTTTTGTATACAATTCCCCGAATCCGAAGGTAAATTAGTAAAATATCTCTAGATTTAATATTGATATTTAAAATATCTCTAAGTTCTCTAAATTTTTAAAATCCTAGGATCCCATAATTTTATTTTTGAATTACCCCTAAAGTATTATAGTCCAATTCTAAAATACCCCAAAATTCCAATGCCCTATGTATAAATTGTACATAAAATAGATAATTTTTAAGTAATTGCCTTGACACGGGGAAAATTTGGGGATTCCCCATCCCTGATGGGGAATGGATGCCCCGCCCCGCCACCAGGGACAAGGTGGGTACGGGGCAAGGTATCATGACTTTGAGGTATGGACGGGGAGGGGGTGCCCCGCCCTGTTGCCATTCTTATCGGTATTGAATTGAGGCATCAACATTTTATGATATACATATCTATATATTATCAATATATTCTATATATAAATTGGGCTACAAAGCTAAACACGCCCAAGTGAAGTCCAACCAAGATGTTGGGTTAAATTTTGGTTGGGCTCAGGTTGGTAAATTCAAGCTTAACCTTGAGTTGGGCCAAGCTTGAGCTCGGAATTTATAACTTAGGGTTGGGCTTGGGACTTGGGTTAAGACTCTCAACTCCATCGATCCACCCAAGTTGTACGTCCCCAAGAAAGAGCATTATGATATTTTTAATTGTATTATTTTCATATTTTATTGAATTCTTTTTACTTATGCTAAAATTTTATTTAGTATTAATTTTTACTATTTTTAAATGGATTATGGAGATTTAAATTAATAATAATTAAGTTCCAAACTTTTAATTTTATTAATTTTTTAATTGGGAAAATCTATGATACGGAAAAGATATGATATGGAAAGAGTTTTGACCAATCAAAACCCACCTATGAATTTTGATAAATCACACTTAATTCGCTACCATGTTTATGATTCCAATTTGTTGGTCAGTTATTTTTTAGATATCATATCTTTTCCATATCATAGTGGAACCCTTTTTAATTTTATCAATAAATTTGTAGTATCATTTTAAAATCCGTTTGATTCGCAGTTAGATAAGAAACAGAATCACCTATTCCCAATGCCTAGCTATTTGGTTTTAGGAAAAATCTATTATGCAAAAAAGTCATGATTTAGAAAGAGTTTTGACCAATCAAAACCCACGCATGAAATTTGATAAATAGCACCTCATTGGACCCAAGCCTGGCCCGGACCTGTATCGGACCCAAGTAATAGCTCTTTGTCATAAGGGCAAAACCTGGCCTGGCCTGGGCCAGCTCGGTCCATGATCACCCTACTCTTCTGCATTTTCTGATTGAAACTTTTGTCCTATCTCTGAGGTGGGATCCATCGACCGGTGGGTTCTACTACCCTATCATGTGCTTTAATGTAAGGTTTGGGCCTTCAGCAATTAAGTCTCTGATTTCAGCTCGAAACATTTACAACATTTTTTGATCGATCAAATGAGAAGCAAAGGATTTTATCTTCCTTAAAATTCTAAAACCTGAACATTTTCTGATCATGATCTAGTTTGGGGGGGGGGGGGTTAGAGGGAGAGAGAGAGACGATATTAGATATGAACGTTTGAAATCTTGTTATTATTGAATAAAATCTGCATGGTTGACAATCGATCAAATCATAAATAGTTGGTCGCCCAACATTTGGCGGTAGGTCAGCAGAGTGATCATTTTATTTATACTTGTCAGAGGCAACAATATGAGATGCAGTTTGATCAACGCAATACAAACAATTAGGTGAGCAAATAAACGATCCTTAGATTCAATATCCAACTTCCAACATTTTCTTTTTTTTTTTTTTTTTTAATTTTCACGATCAAGAGATCTTTTTGAGTTGGTTTTCAAGGTTGGGAATTTCGCTTCACATTTGCAACAGTTCTAGATGAGAAGGTGAACTACCAACTACTTTTTTTCCCTCGTTCCATCAAATTTACTTTTTGTTCTAATTCCAGGCTTGTTATGTTTTCTGAGTTTCTTGCTCTATAAAAAGCCAATACCAGTCGTAGTTGCTCATCCCACAACACTTAGTTCTTAACTTTCTTTTCTAGGTTGGTTGATAGCACATTTAGCCTTCAAACATGGCTTCTGCTTCCAGCAAATACTGCTTCGTTCTGGCTTTGATGTTTGCCTGGTCATCGTCAATCATCAATTTGTCCGTCGCGGCTCGCCATCTGTTGGATGTTTCACCACCGCCTGTGCCAACACTTCCCACAATTCCAACTCTGCCGAAGCCCGCATTGCCTCCATTGCCGGCAATTCCAGTCTTGCCTAAACCCACCACATTGCCACCATTGCCGACTACTCAGTTGCCTCCCCTTCCAACAGTCCCCACTCTACCCAAGCCCACGCTGCCACCCTTGCCGAGCACCCAAATACCTTCTTTCCCTAAACCCACATTGCCAGCACTTCCCAACATGCCCACAAGTCCAACAATTCCAAAGGTCACCTTGCCTCCACTGCCCACAATCCCAACCACCTTCCCAAAGACAATCCCTTTCTTCTCTCCACCACCTTCAACAACTAGCCCTTGAGATGTAAATAAGGTTATCCCTCTATCTAGTTATCTCGGGGAGGCCCCATACAATTTACATTGGTGCAGCTTATCTCTCTTTTTGGAGTCTGATTCTTGGGGCTCATAAATACCTGTTTTCTATCGAGTCTGGCTTATATACGTTACTTCCATCTGTTTGTATGTTTCTTATGTTTATGTGGTTAGTATTATTTCCTTTTTATACGTGTAATGCAGTGTGGAGAGTATTTTTTTCATTGTAGCATTTGTTGTTTGAGAATATAGTGATACACATTTCTATATTATTTGATCTACCTAAACTCTCTTGATCCTTTCTTTTTTTGTTTTCTTTTTTAAATTGTCCCCCTAAAATGCCAAAAAGAAAAAAAAAGAAAAAAACGGGAGTAATCAGGACAAGGGTATAAGTAGGGCTGTCAATAGACTGGATATTGGTTTAACCCAAGCCACTCCAATATAAGTTCATTATGGATGGACCAGGTCCAATCCAATCTGATGAATACTTTGGACCATTATGAACTGGTCCAAAATTTCAATGTCTGAGCCATCCAATCTGTTCAAATTGGTTCCATTTCAAACCTGGTTTGACACCCATACTCCTATCTTGTATCCATGGACCTGGTATTATGGTTCATTCTGACTCAGTCCAGTATAAATCCATTACAAATGAACCAGGTCCAATCCAAGCCACTAAATACTTCGGACCATTAAAGTTTGGAATGATCCAATTCAATACGTCTTATTGGAGTATCCAACCCATTCAAATTAATTTTGATTCGGACTGGTCTAACCCAAACCGGGTCCATTGACACCCCTGGGTGGGTGGCATGGCATTTCAACTAACTTGCACCTGTTCTCTATTTTGTCGCTTGATAGGGCTGACAACTTCGTTTAACTTGAAGAAAGGTAAAAACTTGGGAATTTAGCAAAATTTCGTTAGGAGAAGTCAGTGACTTAGCCACAAATTGGAAAAGGGTGCCTGGATTAGAGGATCTATCAGTCAAAGAAACGATCGAACAGAGAATTCAACTTAAAACAAAGGATCGTTTTCTTCTCTTTGTGTTCCCAAAATGGAAAATGACAGAAACTAAAGCGGTTGCAAACAATGAAACCAGAGATTTCTTTCTCCATCTCTTTAATCTCTGTATCTAGTATGTATGTCTTTATCTTCATTTGCAGTTTTTTATAGTAATAGAAAAATTCACATCCAAATGTAAGTTCTGTATTTTCTTGTTTTTATTTTTTCTGGATATCAGAAATTGCTCAAAGATTTGATTTTGATAACTTTTGGAAGTGGGAGATGGGAATGAATGATTTGAAAAGAGAACTTTGATTCTTCTTGTTTTATCTCCAATTTTGGATTCTTCTTATATTGTTTTTTTCTTAAAAAACATTGTTATATAATATAACGAAGATATATATGCCTCTAGATGCAATGGAGATGGTAGTTGTTATCAGAAATCTGATCTCGTCCATCTCAGCTTCTTGTAGATGGGTTCGGAATCATCCTTTGATTTTGGGTGTAGTTATATTTTTGTATTTTCTGTATAGATTTCTCCCATCTTTGTTTGGTTTTTTGCTTTCTTCTTCCCCTATTCTTGTCTGTACCGCTGTTCTTCTTGGAACCTTCTTCAATTTCGGAACTAACAACATCCCCAAAGATGAAGATGGAACGAACAGGACCAGTCAGGTTGGTTCTCTGAAGGGAGCTGGTGGAAAAGATCATAGCTCTTCTGCAGGAACTGATAAAGATAACAGGAGGGATTTCGAAGGCAAGACAGTAAGAAGGATTGATTTGAGCAAAAGAATTGCAGGAGACAAGGGCAGAAAAACGGTTTTCACATCAGTGCGAACTAATAGATCCATCATTTTCAGTGAAGAAAAGCCTAAAGATGTCAATAAGGAGGCGATCAAAGAAGAGAGAAACAATCAGGAGAAGGAAAGCAAGAGCCTCAAATTGGAGCCCACAGGTGAATTTTCTTTCGAATCGTCTCGAGATTCGTCTTCGAAACAGATGGAAGATCGTGTCGATGAGCTTGATCCACTTTCACGTTCCTTCGATGCCGCTTCTGAGAAATCCAGCGAAGATAGTACTGCATTGGAGGAGATTGAAAGCCAAGAAGAAACAGAAGATGCACAGAGGGCTCAAGAGGACGGAAGTAAAGCCGTAGAATGGACAGAGGATGACCAGAAGAATCTCATGGATCTGGGGACTTCCGAGCTGGAAAGAAACCAGCGGCTGGAGAATCTAATTGCGAAGCGAAGAGCAAGGAAACTGTTGAGAATGGAGGCTGAGAAGAATCTGATAGACTTCGACAGTAATGACCTTCCTGTCCAAATTCCTCCCATTTCAACAATAAGAACCAACCCTTTCGATCTTCCTTACTGCCCTAATGACACCACGGGCTTACCACCAATTCCTGGTTCTGCTCCTTCTGTACTATTACCATCTCAGAACCCTTTTGATCTTCCTTATGACCCGTTAGAAGAAAAACCCAATCTCATGGAGGACAACTTTCAGGAAGAATTCATGGCAGCTCAACCCAAGGACTTCTTCTTTTGCAGGCATGAGAGCTTTAGTTTGGGTCCTTCATTCCCACTCCCATGTGAACCTAGGCAAAACATGCGCGACCTTAAGTTCCCTCCCTTTTTTGTCCCCCAACGGATGCCACCAGAGAAGGCGACACACTTTCCCCCATTCCCAGGGCAATCTTTGGGTGCACGGTCTGCACCTGATTCCTCCGGTGAAGAAAGCCAATCTTCAGAAGAAGAAGCTGATTCTATAGAGATTAATGATCAAGCATCTAAGACAGATAATCTGGGTATGAGCTCGCCACAAATAACCAAAGAAAATATAAAGCCAACCATAGGTGGCGTTGCAGAGGAATCCAGCAATTCCATGCAACCATCGCTCAGGGACTCTTATCACATGGGGCTGCAGGTCGCAGACGAAGTGTACGACAGTCGAGTAAATGAGCAGCCTGTATACGATTCGAGCCCATCAGCGACCGAGAAAATGACCATAGAAGAAGCTTTGCTTAACGTGAAGAAGAGAGGACACGAACATCATACCCAATCCATAGCTTCTGATTTGCAGGTAGAGGTATCAGAAGTGGGCTCTCCAATGTCAATCGTCTCGATGAGTGATGGGAAATCCTTACTGAACGAGAGAAGCATCCCCGATGACGACACCAGTTCCATCGATGAGCTTGCGTCGTGGTCTGCCTCTTCTCACCTACGCGATGTTGACGAAATTGAATCGAGATCCAAGGGAGTGTCAATGATCAGCGAGCGTGATGTTATAAAAGTTGGATTTATGGGGCTAAGCCGGAGCTCTAAAGATTTGACCATAGGCATCGCACCTTTGCCACCCCCGGCACCGGACGAGTTGGATTTTGAAGATGGCTCGGTCGATACGATTACTCCCCCTTCTCCCAATCCCATGACTGAAGCAGCAGCTAACGAAGGTTCCATGGACCATGAAAAAACACAGCCTCCCAAGGACAACTCCACAGTGCAACTCTCTCGTCATGCCGGTCCTGAGAAACAAAAGGTGAGTTATAGCTTCCAATTACACACATTAAATTCTAATACGGATCTTATTATTCTTACGTCTAGTTTGTTTAATAGATTCCAATCCAATCGCTAAAAAGCAAATTCTTTTTGCTAGTCAGTGAACCGGGTCGGGGTGAGTCCAGTTATACAAGTTTTTAAAAGCCGGGAACCGTTCTGGTCACTGGTTTCTGTGTCGAATGGTCCAATCGTCTGGTTCGATGGATGGCCCATTTTGACTTAAAAGATAAATAAAATAAAAATGGCCAAAACCATTGTCCATGCCAACGGTTTGACCACCTGGGTCAACGGGTCACTGACCAAATCGATAAATTTTGGCCCAGGAGTGATTTTGGGGTGAAACAGAACCAATTACCTGACTAGTTCCCAGGTCAATCGGTCTGACCATCTGGTCCAGTCCGGCTTATAAATCAGAGGAATTTTACAATAGGGTCATTTACTGCAACTCCCTGGATAGTTTCATAGATTTACTTAAACCTATCCTGTATCTTATCAGTTTTCATTTTATTTACTTAATCGACCTTTCATTAAGAAGTCTTTGTTTTAACATGATCACCTAAACTGGGTGGAAAATTGTTCAAGGGCATGAGACCATGATTGTTTATTCTAAAAGTACTCCTAACACTTCATACAAAAAAACAAAATTGACCAAATAGAATGCTTGCTCCTATTTTATTAGGGGCAAAAATGGTATTGTCATTTCATTTTCTTTTGGTTAAATTTATTCAAATGGAAATTAGGGTCAAAATTGTCATTTTCACTGTCATTTAGGCTGTGTTTGGTTTGAAGGAAAAAGTAGGGAAGGTAGAGAAACCTATACAAGAAAGGGAAAGGTAGGAAAACCTATTTCCTTTCCCTACTTTTTCCTTCAAATCAAACATATAACCTCAATGAAAGTTTGATTAAGTAAACCAATTGCAAACTATAGGAGTGTTTTTAATAAAATGCAAATTATAGGATAGGTTTTAATAGATCCATGAAACTATACGGGTGTTTTAGTAAATGATCCTTTAGAAATTAGAATATTATGTTAGTCCACTTGGTTCTCCATAACCATAACCAATACATGAAAAAGAATCTGTATCAGTGTATTATAGGTCATTCTATGAAGACCCATGAATTTTGCCTTTCTAAGTGATTTCCTGAGAAGCATGTATCCTCTGTAAATATGCACAAACTTAGATTATTTGTTTCTCTCTCTACATAAGGCTTTGCCTCTTCTATGATGTTCTGGATCAGGATGGCCCAAGGCGAAATAATCCTTCATGAGCAAGGAGTTGGCCACTTACGAGCTACACATTTTTCTTTCCTCTTCTGAGTTCGGACTAGTTAATTTGTTTTTACATTTTACTGTACGCAGGTAAACGAGAGACCAACACTCATAAACACTGATGTAAAGCAGGAAGAATCCGTCCTCCCCAGATCCAGTGAAGATGGTATAGTTCACAAGAACACAAACGAGTCAGTGGTCAAGGAAACGGAGAAGGATGGTTCAAAGTCCACCAAAGCTATTGAAGACGATTCTGATAATAAGAATGTAAAACCAGCAGAGCCAAAGGAAGGCGATATCAGGCATGAAGCAGAAGTGAAGAAACCTGTCACTGAAGCTACTCTCAAAGAGACAACACCGAAAGAAGAAGCAGCTGGGCCTGCCATGTCTCAATTGCTCAAAGAACAAAATCTTACGAGGACTGGTTCCGAGCCACGAGTTCCTTGAGGAAAAAAATCTGCAAGAAAATTGTTTTGAACCTTATATAAGGAAGATCCCTAATGGCGTGCAGACCGTTGAAAAGCAACGAGGTCAAAGTAGAAATGGAACTTGTCTAACCGTTTATCTAATATAATCAATCTCCCAAATATATATTTTTGTAATAGATGCGTGAAGAATCTACATGCCAAACTCGATGTTGTTCATTCATTGGAGTCTAGGAAGAGGTTGCCGAGGACATGGTAAAATTGTAAGAATTCAATTGTTGCTTCACACACTCAAGTGTGCAGTAATGATGCAATTCATTTTGTATTTATTTTTCCAAAGCTTGTTCTAGATTATTGTCCCAGTTTAACCTCCAGAATTCATGTTGATGTTGAACTAACCAGATTGGCATATGCTTCGCTATAAGAAAGAATCCAAGAACTGGGGAGAGTATAAATTTACCCTGTATATATCCATACTACGGACAACATTCAGGCTCCATTTGTTTGATATACAATTTAATTTACAAGTAAAACTTAAAATAAATAGAGATCAGAATTTGCATTACTCATTTGCACTCCCATGCTTTTCCACCAGTATAAATGAAATTGCATGGCAAACAAACTAGAACTTGTGTGTGTGTGTGTTTTTATGAGAATATGCAACTCAAGACAGATACTTCAAAAACCAAAAAGCAGAAACTAAACAAACTAGATCTTGTGTTTTTTTTTTTTTTTTTTTTTTGAGAATATGCAACTCAAGACAGATTCTTCAAAAACCAAAAAGCAGAAACTCAATACAATGGTCAGTCATAGACTCATAGTTTCTCAATCACCGAGCGAGGAAAGATCCTCTGATTTGATTTTAGTTTTTTTATTGGCAGAATTACAACAAGAGTCTATAAACATTCAAGAAAACACCAAACATCAGTAACGAATTAAATAACTTCGCAACACAATACCAGTCTCTCCCACCAAAGCAAGATTGCACCTGGCAGCCCTTATCCATCCTTGTGTCAAGAAATTGGTGAAGCTTCAAAAAGTCTATCAACTCAAACTCGGAATCATGAAACATACCTTGCATGGTTCTGAATTAAAAATCAATATCACCCTACTTCACATGACCTCATCTTGAATCTTTTGAACCCTTTTTGATGATTATTAACGATATTCCATGATCGTAAACATCATCCAATCCAAGGCCAATCAAAGCCTGAGCTCACATTTGGATAATGTGTATCAATGGCCCAATGCCAGTTTGCACATCCAAGGCGTGAGATAACAAATATACGCGGCCAAGGCTTGCCATTTGACACATGGAATAAAGCTGGGCAAAATAAAAGCTACTCAGCCAACCAGAAACAAACAGTGGACTACTACTACCAAATAGTTTACAATATATCTCTGAAAATTCTGTTCATTATCAGATAACACGGAACCAAAATTGACAACTAATTGACATTTACTTTGATTACTTTACCTTCTTCTAACTGTAACAAAATGGTGCATAATGTTGTGGAACTGGCAAATACTATTTGTTCATATCTAATTCACAAATCACAAGTACCCTGCAAGATTTGTCTCACTTCTTGGTTTTTTTAGTTCCCCTGCAAAAAGACCCAAGTTCTCAGTCAAATTCATTTTCCTCACCCAATTGAGAAGAGCAATGCAAAGAGTTATTTACTCAGTCGGTTGAGGGGCGGGTGCTGCTACAGCTCTCTCTCCTGGACCCTGTAACACATATAGGGGAGCCATTACAACCTTATAATCCAAAGTTAGGATTAGAATATTGGATAGACAATCAAGAAAAGAAGAAATAAGAAAACATTTCTACAACTTCATATTGCAAATTTTCAATACGTTCACAAGTTATCTTGTTGAAAGACTCTTCCGGTCTTCCCTATTGTTAATGAATTTTAGATGCAATCATGAATTCAGTTCAGTCCGGTCATAGGCATTCAACTGCATGGTTCCATTTTCAACTACCGGTCCAGTGATTAGGAAAAACATCAAATGCTTTAATCTGAAAAATGGTTGAATTAATTGGCCAGGAGGCCTCCTAAGACTATTTTACAAATCAATGGTCCATTCCGTCCATAAAGAAATGCTTTTAACTGGATCACAAAATAAGTTGAAATTTCAGCAAATGTAACAAAAATGCTGAAAAAGAGTAGTAGATTTACTGCATTTCAACAAAATGATACGAATGTACCATAACATGACAAAAATCCCTTCCTGATAGTATTTGCAATTGATCTGGCAAGGCATATCTCACCTGGGCTAAACGCTCTTCTCTCCTAGCAAGCTTCCTCTCCCTGCTAGCCTTGTTCTTAGCCCGCTTTGCTTCAAACTGATCTGTCAGAATCTTCTCTCTTGCCTTCTCAGCTTTTGACTTGTGAATAGTCTCCATCAGCACTCTTTTGTTCTTAAAAACATTACCTTTGACCTTCATGTACATGTCATGGTACATGTGCTTGTCAATCTTCTTTGATTCTCTGTACTTGCGCAGCAGGCGTCTCAAGACCCGCATCCTCCTCATCCAGAGAACTTTAGTAGGCAGCCTTGCCTCCCTAGTACCTTTGCGCTTACCTGCAAACATTTTTTTTTTTGATAATTGAAATGTTCATTGATCAAAAAGATGTCTAATACAAGTATCCCTAGGAGAGGAGCAAGGTGCAGCCTCAAATTTGAAAGAGGTTATTATAACCAATCAATAAGGAAAAGACAGTAAGTTACAAAGCAGCCCAATACAGGTGTTCCCTGTTAACCCTTTGTTTGGCAAGAGAATCCGCCAGAAAATTTGCCAACTTTAGTACCCACTGGACTCTCATAGTCATATTCCTTGTTAGCCAAAACACTCTCTTAAGGATGTCCCTGAAGCACCAAACTACCGATTCCGGATCCCTCAACCACCCCACAATTACCTTAGAATCACCTTCAATCGGTAGCCTCTCAACACCAGTTTGATTTGCAAGCTAATCCCCTATAATGCAGCTAGCAATTCTGCCCTAGTCAGTCTCCTGAACCCACTGGGCCTGAGAATAAGGCTAAAAGAACAAGCACAATTTTTTCTCATCCCTATTCAATGTTTCAGGACTAACAGTAATGCTCAAAATGTCAACTAACTTTCCTTAAGGTTCATGAAATGCCCTTAAAAATGGCTGATCAAAGACAAAAGAGTGGCTCAAAATGGAAAAATAGAAAGTCAAGCATTAATTTACATCTCTTTCAAAATGATCAGTAATTTATTAGTCTCTACTTCATTAAACAAAGGGTGAAAAGTTATGTAGTTGAAAAACTAAACGTACATTTTTGCTCTTTTCATAAAAAAGAAAATAAAAAAAGGAAGCACTCTGCCCCTTTCAAATCAAAATAAATGTAACCTTAGTTTTTCTGACAAGTATATGACTAAATATTTTATCCAAGCCACTGATAATGCAAAAGTCCAAATCTTCTAATACAAATTCTCAAGTGAAAACTATCCGATTCTTCATCGAAGAAAAAAAAACCACGATAACATAGCCAACGGAAAGCATCATACCATATCCAGAGTGGCGTCCCTTCCTTTTGGCTTCCTTCATTCGGCGTGCACGAGACCGAGAGTGGATCTTTGTTGGCTTCCTTATTATGAAACCATCCTTCACCAGCTTTCTTATGTTTTGCCCTACAGTACAAAGTGAAATAAGCCCCAATGATGAGGATATTAAAATCAAGCACAACCATAAATCCAAAACTATAGCTTTATCTCAACAAAATGCAACAGAGACCTCGTCGACTGATGGACTGAAGCAAGATAAAGCTATAGCAGGAAAAATATATAGAATAAGCCAGGAAGAACAATATCACTCATAACCTGTTATTTAGCGTTGAAATGCATATAAACTCAAGATAGTTTCTTGATAAGGGAAGGCAATTGACATTTAGTAGGGTTTTAAGGGATGATCTAGAATATTAGTGAGGTCTTAAAGTTTACAACCACGAACTAGATCAGATTGTAATGCACCAAACTGCGCATCAATGAAGTTGAAACTCGACCAAATCACTACTGTATCAAAATGAATAACACCGCTTCTAGTAAGATCAACCAAAAGTATAAATCTTAAACCCCAAATCAGAAATTCAAACATCTAAACCCTACAATACCCAAATAAAAAAGATTAAAAAGGAAACAACGAAAAAAAAAATAAATCAAAATCACCAGCTTCAGTGAATCCAAAGAGACTCGCAGATGGATACGTACTATCTTGGATTCGGAGGTTCAAATTACCAGCAGAAAATAAAAGGGAAGTTGCAGAAAAGGGTAAAGAGATTCGTACTGGAATTGGCCATGTAGATCTCGTTGACTTCATTGGGGTCGAGCCACACCTTTCCTCTTCCGCACTTGAGAACGCTCGCAGCGAGCCGCTTCTGAAGCTTCAACGACACCATTGTTGCTCTCGGCTCTCCCTCCTGTTTCTCGCGCCGCTGAGACCGGGACCGGTGAATGAGAGATGGGTTTATACTTTATAGCATGAATTAACACTTGGTTGCTACTAACGCTTATTACGTTCTCTGCACACTCGCTTTTGTTACCATTGGATCACATCAATCTGAATGATTGATAGCGAGATCAACTAAAAGATGGGTCCATGTCACTTATCGATGGCTCGAAAATACACAAGTTACCCAAGGGTTTTATGAGTTAATAGTTCTATAGTAGACCTTAGGGGAAAACCATCAGATTGGAATATTTTAGTTCGAGAATGCTTGAATAAGTTTGATTTTGGACTCACGTACATCTCTGCATGGAAGATTGCAATCAAGTGGTTTTTTCAGAATGTCGTAAAAGTGACGCGCTTTATGTCTGCCCATAAAATGGATCCCGCCTGGGGCGGTGAAACTCAATGACTTGGGTCGGGTTGAAGGTCAATCCAGGCCCGATACTAAGTGTGTAAAGCCTTGGGCTTGGACATGATCCAAAGTATAACCTACGCCCAACTTGACTTTAGCCCCACACAACTCACAACTGATGTCGGTTCAAGTGGGGTTAGATTGGGCTTAGTCAGCCATAGAAGTTGGTCAGGTTTCAAACAGTTTATGAATATATTTTTATAAAAGTTATCTTTTATTGGAATTTATGATTCACCTTAAGAGTATAATTAATCAAAAATATGTACATAATTCATTTATAAGTATACATATATATAAGTATATATAATTAAAAAAAAAGTTCAATATCGAAAAAAACTTACAACCAATTAATCAACATCATAAAAATAAGATGGATTTTCACCAAAATAAATGGAGGGTGTGATTGGTCAAAGCCTTTAGGCATTGTAGATTTTCCCTTAAAAAAAGATGTATATATAAATAAAATGTATATATGTATATGGTATTTGTTGGAATAAAATTCAAGCCTCGACCCAATTCCAACTCAAATTTAGGTCATGCTCACGTTTACTGGCCATGGCCAGTCAGCAGCCCAAGAAAGTTGGGCCCAATCGGTATAAAAATTGGGTTTGGGCCTGCCCAATTATATATGAAGTGAAATTTGGCTTTTAAAGTTTTCCTTTTACTGATCATCCATGGCGAGAGGACACAGAAAGACGTTAAAACCATTGATGTGATAACTGGTACTGAGATCGGCTTCTATCCGGGCAAATCTGTGCCCACAACTTTATAACAACATTTTTCAACCTTATATTGGGAATATATCTTCATGAAATTAAATATATAAGTACGGAGATATTCTCAATGCAAGGCAGTAAATACTGCACGAATGGGCTTTGCCCTGATTGAAGCCAAACTTACTGGTATTTGTATCTATTACTAAAATGGTATTTTCTGAACTCAAATTGTGTAGAAGCACCTTCCAACCTAAAAAAAAAAATAAAGTATAATAACACCTATTATCCTTAATGGGAAGCAAATCAAATCAAACATAGCCTAAAAAATAAGGGAAGCAAATCAATGTTTTGTTACTTTATCGTCAATATATGTTTCATAGATTATTTGTATTTCTATCGACACATAATTGCATTTTTGTCTACTTTGCATTCTTTAACAGTGCAAATTTTACATCCTAAATTCTAATACGGAATTTCCGCCACCTTTCTCCTACCTCAACTCTCTCTCATATAAAATAGGAGCCAGGTCATCTTACTTTCTACTTCATTCCCAAACAAAATGATCCTCCTCTCATGAGTCTCATCCCCATTCTTTATCATGTGAAGTGAAGATCGCTTCATTTTATTTCTCAAAAACAAATAAAAGAAAACTAAATCTAAAGCAAAAAGCAAATCAGAATTTACACTTATGGAACTCAGATTACAAACAAAAAACATATTCCAACCCTCCCCACATTCCGATGGTAAATCAAACTGCCTTCCGATGTCCTAGGTGTGCAGCTTTAATTTGTTATGAGTAGGTGTGGGTAGGGTTTTTGTGGGTATAAGATTTAAATTCCAATTTGAGGTGACGTTTGGTAGTGCTAAACAAACTTCTGAATGCCGAAATTTTTGCGTTTCGGTGTTGGAATTCGTTCGGTAGCATCGCAAAATGCCTCTCTAAACACTGAAATGAGGTTGACCTCAATTTCATGGGTCATGGGTCTGCTACCTCCGAATGCGCTTAGAAGTAGCAGACACCTTTATACTGGAGGAAGCTGGAATACTTCCTTAATTGGCAAATGAATTTTACAGAATATGGTTGTAGCCCAGACCCAAGAGACTGATGTGGTCAATCAAAATACGATAATGTAAATCCATGTTTGAGAGATTGTTGTGGCAACACTTACAGCAGAACATTTAGGCCAATAAAAGGGCTTATGCTGTCTCAATGATATAACTTTAGAAAATATTTGCCGAGCAGCTTTTGACTGTTTTTGTTCTTGGATCCTTAAAATGGTGCATTCAATTCAAATTCAGAATGACTTGAACAGGCTTGACCTCCTTGAGACTGAATTACAAGCCAAACCCTGGACCAAGCCACGCCAGGCATCATATGGGCCAGATTGCTGTTTCATAGGTACATCTAGGAGTCCATTTGGTTTATAGTCAGAATCAGAATTAAAATCGGAATTGGAATTGGAATAATCTATTCCCATAGTCTGTTTGATTCAAACAGGAATAGGAATAGAAATTAGAATCAGCTGAAATGGGACTTCATTCCCAAAAGAGGGGGAGGGAATGACCATTCCCTCAATTGGGAGAATGCCATTCTAGCAGAAATGGGAATGAGATTCCAATTTTACCCAACCAAACAGTTGAACTACTCTGATTCTGATTCCATACCTCTATTCTTGTAAACCAAACAGGCCCTAAATAGGGGAGGCCACAAACCGAGCTTCTCATGAGTTATTCAAGCTCCATTCGTGAGGCTCGCAAGCCTAATATAATAAATAAATAATTTTTTATTATATACATATATACATACACTTACATATACATACATATAATAAATAATTTTCATAATTTTTAATTTTGTGTGTGTAAAATAAAAAAAAAATATTTTTTAAAAAATAACTTGACTTGTAGTTAAGCTCGAGCTCGAACCTAACACAATTTCAGCAAGCTAAACTCAAATAACCAAGTATTTGACTCGAATCCTCCCCTTGCCCTAAGTTTTGAACATTCTCCCAAAAATCTTTATCACAAAGAGTTTTAGAGACGCAATTTATTAGGAGATATGCTTGGAAAACATTAAGATAAGCATTGAAATGGCATCGAAACTCAAATAAATTTTACAAAATGCATCAATTGTACAAACTCTGCAATAGTTTATAATTGTATTACTGTATAAAGCAGATACCCCACAAATTTTAAAGTATGACATGAGACGCCTTCCATCGGATGTGTCATATTGTATCGGCACCCTGCCGATAAACCATTTTTAAGGCTAATCCTCAAGCTGTCCCTAAAGCCTATTTTTGAAAAATAAAAAATAAAAATAAGCATATGGTGCAAATTACTGATACACCTATTAGGGTGTATGATATTTTGTAAGAGAGCGCATACAAAAAATTTATGTATATGTTTGGCATCGATGCTGCAGTTATAGCACCATTTTCTCAGAAAACGGTGCCTTTTTTTTGTTTGAAACCATTGCTACCAAGTAGGATGTTTCGTGGAGCAACAACCACTTTTCTATTTGGTACCAACGCTCCAGGAAACGTTTTCTGCATTGGTACCTATTATCCAATGCTTCTACTATGTAAATATTATCTTACATCCAATGGTGGAAAAAATACCTATTTCATCCTATGGTCCCAATTGTTGAACAAACTATTAAAAAAAAAAGAAATTCAGGAAATCATGAGGAAAATGGAAAAAAATCTGAAAATTACATGGAAAAAAGCCAAAAAATTCATACATTAATATAAATATATATAAATATAAATTCTAGACAAATGTAAAAATATAGAACAAAGTATGAAAATCAGCAAAATTGAATGAAATTACATGGAAAAAATAGAATATATATATATACAAATATATAAACATAAATATAAATATAAATTCTAGACAAATGTAAAAGTATAGAACAAAGCATGAAAATTAGCAAAATTGAATGAATTGCATGGAAAAAACAGACTATATATATAAGTATAAATATATTTATATTTATATAAACATAAACATAAATATAAATTCTAGACAAATGTAAACATATAGAACAAAGTATGAAAATCAGCAAAATTGAATGAATTGCATGGAAAAAAAGAATATATATATATGTATATATATATATATATATATATATTTATATTTATATAAAATATATATAAACATAAACATAAATATAAATATAAATATCAATTCTAGAAAAATGTAAAAATATAAACCTTGAATTTTTATTAACTTTATCACAGGTAATTAAATTTCATTATTATTTTCAGACCCAACTTTATGAATTATGGTAGCTTCTATTTGACATTCTCTCATTAGATTTCAGTCTTTTATAGAGGAAGATAAGTGGGTTTTGACTTTTGACTCAAGTAAGCTGTTGCGATGGAAAGAGCTGGCCCTCAAACAGGTTGTTGCCTTCTGATGTTAAAAAGAAAGAATGCTTGAAGAAAACGGTAAACAGAGCAAACATCACACTATTCGACCAAAACAAAAAGAACAGGAAAAAAAAAAAAAAAACTCAGAATGYTTGAAGAATACAGACCTGGTATCTCCGACGACTGAACAGACGGTGACTGAAAAAAGGAGATTACAGGTGACCTCGGTGACTACTTGCACTCGACCTCCAACTCCAACGACTGACTGCTTGCACTTCGGTGACTGGCTGTGCGGATAAACCTCCGGTGACTGCTTGCAGTCGACCTCCAACTCCAACGACTGACTGACCGCGCGGATAAATCTCCGGTGACTGCTTGCACCAGACCTCCAACTCCACGCCACGTCACTGCCACTTCAGCACCTTGTTGGCAGCAATGAGCTGTAGCTCCAGGAAATGTCAAATCTGACGTTGCTCTAAGCCATGGTTTCCC